AATTTAAATAACAATGTTTTATATTATGAATTTTTAAATTTTGAATTAAAATTTTAATTTTTAAATTAAAATTTTAATTTTTAAATATAAATTGAAATTCTAATTTCTTTTTAGAACCTTGATTGATATGTATTATTCTCTGTATATATAAGAAAGATTTTTAACTGCAAGATGCCAAGGTCCAGAGGAACTGAATTGGAAGATGCTGATGATGTTGAAGAAGTGGAGATTGGGCATTGACTTGACTGCTTCAATTGATTTAGAGTAATAAGTTTGCAGAGCTGCATTCGATGGATATTCTGCAGAAACAAAACGCTTGCTTTTGGTTGGCAGTGCGCCAAGGGTCTAGCATGTATCTCCATCAATAAGGATGCAAGAGATGTGAAGAAAATTTGGCCTTGGTCTCTGTTGCAATTTGCAAGGGTGAGTTTTCCTTTTTTTTTTAATCATAAAATTTCCTCCTATATAATAACAAAAGAAAAGGAAATTTCTGTCCCATAGCTTTCTAGTATTAGTTGAGATATGGATATGTTTAATTTTGAGTTGATAATTTTGTTTAAGGGAAGAAATGGTAGTAGCTAGTTTTTGTTCTTATTTCTTAATTTAATAGAAAATATGATCGAATTTCAAAATTAATTTATTTATTTCAAACTTATCAAAAGTAACTTTCTTAATTTAATTTAATTTTTTTTATTATGACTGAGGAATTTGAAGTTTACAGAAAGTTGTGTACTGAGCAAAGTTTACATTTAAGGAAAAAGGGAATCTACAGACTGTCATACTAGTGCTTTCTGCTTTGTATTTTGTTTCTTATTAATTCATTTAACTTGTCTTGCAGCTCAATTATATAATATTAGAGCAATGGTAGTTGGTGGGCGAAGGGATACTGTCTGCTTTTTGGCTACCTTTCTATCTCTGTTTCTAATATCATTGCTTCTGACAAATGTTGAAGCTTTTGATTATCCATCAACTGTGAAGCCTCCCGTCTCTTGGAGTAACCACCTCCCAACTGACTTCAATTTTTGGGAATCAGCAGGGGAGAGACCTATCTTGGTTAATGGGGGTTTTGTGTGTGGCTTCCACTGCAAATTTGAAGGAACCGCCTGCCTCTTTGCTATTTCCATCCTTCCATCCAGTTTTGATGAAAACTCCAACTTTTCTACACAAATGGTATGGACTGCTCATAGAAACAAGCCGATTGGATTTGGGGCCAAATTGCAATTTTCTCAAGAAGGAGATTTAACACTGCAAGATGATCATGGCACTCTGGTTTGGTCTACAAACACAACAGGTAAATTTGTTTCAGGAATGAAGTTAACTAATCAGGGTAACCTTATACTGTTTGATAGAAACAATGAGACGGTTTGGCAGTCTTTTGATCATCCGACAGACTCTTTGGTTATTGGGCAGAGGCTAGTTTCTGGACAGAAATTGGTGGCAAGTATTTCAGCCACAAATTGGAGTGAGGGTTTATATTCATTTTCAATTGATAATCATGGTTATTTTGTAGCTTCTGCGGGGTCAGATGCTACTGTAGTCTATTATCGATCCGATGACAGTATGTTTCTCTTTAGAAACCAAACGGGGCAGTTTTCTGCTGTACTCATGAACGGAAGTTTTGGTGACTTCTTTTCAGACTCTGGATTTAGTTTTTTACAATTAGGCTCTGATGGGCACTTGAAGTCCTTCGGGTGGGTAGAATCAAACTGGAAGGAAGTCGATGATTTCTTTAGCTTTCAAGTCGATCGATGTGATTACCCATTGGCTTGCGGAAAATATGGAATTTGTATACAAGAAGGATGTAGTTGCCCAGAACCAGTTGAAAAAAATGGACCTATGTATTTCAGGCAGATAAATCCTTCACAGTCAAATCTTGGGTGTTATCCAGATAATCCACTATCTTGTGAGTCTCCTCAATGGCAGAGTCTTCTTGAGCTGAAGGACATAGATAACCCTGGTCCATCAAGTTTGAACTCTTTTGCTTATATCAGAACAGACATAGAGAGCTGCAAGAGAGCCTGTTTAAAGAATTGTTCTTGCATGTATGTTGTTTTTCAACCTTCTAATAAAACTTACTCGGATCCTGGCTACTGCTTTCTTAGATCTGAAGCTTTGTCATTCAAGAGAGCACGTACATATACAAGTCAATCTCTATTTTTGAAGGTGCAGAATTCTCCAACAGCACAGATTCCACAAAGGAATCGTTCATCACCAGCACAGATTCCACTAAGAAAGAAAAGACAGAATGTAGGAGTTGTAGTTGGATCCACTCTTGGAGTCACTTTTAGTGTGCTTCTTATCTGCACTCTCTTTTTACTACAAACTAAAAAAGATCCAAAGGATATTGAGGAGGATTATCTGGGCCACATATCAGGAGCACCCATGAGATTCTCTTATGAAGAGTTAAGGGTTGTAACCAACAACTTCAGCAACAAGCTCGGCGAGGGAGGATTTGGTTGTGTTTTTCAAGGAGCATTACCTGGAAGTGCTCAAGTTGCAGTAAAGTGCCTTGATGGTTTTGGTCCTGTAAAGAAGTCATTTATAGCTGAGGTTGAGACCATAGGAAGCATTCACCATTTCAATTTAGTACGATTGGTTGGGTTTTGTGCTGAGAAACTATGCATGCTTTTGGTTTATGAGTACATGTGTAATGGGTCATTGGATCAATGGATCTTCTACAGAGACAAAGCGCTTGTTCTTGGTTGGCAATGTAGAAGGAAGATCATTCTAGACATAGCCAAGGGACTAGCATATCTCCACGAAGAATGCAGGCAGAAAATAATTCACTTGGATATCAAACCACAAAACATCCTCTTGGATGAAAATTTCAATGCCAAGGTTTCTGATTTTGGGTTGTCTAAGCTAGTAGGGAGAGAGCAAAGCCAAATTGTGACAACGATGAGGGGAACACCAGGTTATATGGCCCCGGAATGGTTGAACTCGGCAATCACAGAAAAAGTAGATGTATATAGTTTTGGCATTGTTGTTCTGGAAATTTTATGTGGAAGAAAAAACATTGATCGATCTCTACCGGAAGAGGATGCCCATTTGGTGAGCCTTTTTAAGAGAAAGGTTGAGGATGGTCAACTTCTGAATCTAGTGGATAAGTGCAATGAGGAGATGCAATCAAATACAGCAGAGATTGTGGAGATGATGAAAGTTGCAGCATGGTGTTTGCAAAGTGATTATGCTAGGAGGCCTTCAATGTCCATTGTGGTGAAGTTCCTAGAGGGTAAAATGGCTGATGAAAACGAATATGATTTCTCAAATCCACCAGGACCGTCTGAAGTGGAAACTCTCGGACACCAAATGGATGCAGCTGCAGTTACTGCTTCTACATTGATTCCATCTATCCTATCTGGTCCAAGGTGATGATATGGGGGGAGGAGAAGACATAAAGCACGTGCTACAATGGTAATACTTCATTTCTAGTTTCTGTTTCTAGTCAATATATACTGCTCTCAGTTCTAAAGCTGTTCCAAGCCAGAAAGTAGAATGCAAATTACTACTGCTAGAATTAGCTTATCTTCCTTTCTCTTTTGGGAATCTGTTTGGATGCTTTATATATTTTGCTTTTTAATGGTAATATTTTATTTTCAGTGTTTCTTGTAATGCTAAAATGAATTTGTTTTGATTGAAAAAAATGTATCTTTTATTTGATTAATATAAACATTCTCACCACATTTTTTTTATCTCTTACTCTCTTTTTTTTTTTCAGTGTTAACTCGATCGGCTTCATCTCTTCCATTTAAATGCTAAGTAATTGAGAAAAACTTCACTGCCCAATTAGCGTAAGAGTAGAGACTGCCGCCAAAAGAGAAATCGATGGAGTGAAGTCCTTTCCTTGTGTTTGGGGTGTTTTTTTTTTTTCAATTACAAATTTGTCATTTTTGTTTTAGTGTAATACTATTAGCTACTTCAACTTCAAACTTGTGTTGCAGCTCGAATATTGAATTATGAGTGTCAATGTTACTGGTGTGATCTTTTCAACATTAGGTAGATTATTTTATATGACTTGATAGTTAAATATATATTTATGTATTAAAAGCACTTAATAGCTACGCCAAATAAACTCATTGATTACTACAAATTCGAGGATTTGCATACAAGTAAAGCACTTGATAAACATAATTTCAACCTTTAGAAAGCTAGATTTTCCCAATTTAATCTCTATAATATAACAAAAATAATTGAATCATAACAAAAATAATTGAGTTACAATGTCTTATATAATGTCATGAGTTATCAAATAAGTAGTTGAATGATTGGAATAAACTAAAGTTTACAATTCACAAATTTTTGTAGATATTAGGTATAGTGATTCAAAAAAATCAAGACGTCTTAATAATTAAAATGATAGAATGATGATAAAAAATTAAAATATTTTAAATAAATTTATATTTAAAAATTCATTAAAATATTTAAATAAATAAAAATATTAACATTTAAAATATTAGAACATCTTAATTTTTTTTTTGTTTTTTTTTTTTATTTTAGGTAAAGGGTTTTGCTAAAAATTCTTAGATGATAAACTTGACAGTGTTGGGCTTATTCTCCCCCATATTTTCCACCGTCTTGTTATAATAAAGCATCTGATTTGGGCCGCACGTTGTTTTGCTTCGGTCTATGAATGGAACTTTTGGGCCTGCTGTGCTCGCCTTACTACCCTTTGTTTTATTTTTTCTGGGGGTGGGAAATACAACCCTTTGTTTTGCTTTCCTAAATTACACAGCCCTAACCAGGGGCAGTTATGCTCGGTACATGGAAAAAATCTGACGACCAGTACTAATCTTTCACGGACGCAAAACTCATACCAGAAGTCTATTATTTTTTAACTTCAAGATGCTGTTGTTGAAGATGTGGAGATTATATTATGCAAGGCCATTATGGAATTTAAAAAATGGAAATTACTAGAAATTCTTAGCTGTGTGATTTGATAACTTTGAATTCATTTTCTGATTTCTTAGTTCTGTTTAAAGAATCTATTTTCTGTACTAAAAAAAAAAAAATCTAACTTTGCTTCCTTATTAGGAGACTTTAGGGGTCCTTCATATTTTGTATTTTTATGGTGATATGTGTTGCAGCTTGATTACTAAATTTTAGACAAATAGTTCTCTTATTGTTTCAGTTTTTTAACTCTTCCTAACTGCCAATTGCTTCGAGCAATTGTTTTTCGTTTTTCTTTTTAATTCAAATTTAATGACTCTATATAATATACTGTAAGAGATTATTCTTATGCCTCAAAATAATTGTTTCTTTATTTTAAATTAATTGTCAATTTTATTTTTTAAGATAAACAAATATTTTTTATTTTAACCATATTATTATTCATTTAATTTGATTAATCATTTTATCACAAAAAATTTAATTTTAT